CAATCACGGGCCCCCTCCTTGTCCGGGCCCCGGGGCTTCAGCCCCGCCTAGCCCAATGGTTAATGCGGCCCTGAGTGCAGCTACTTAATCATTTGCTGCTCGTTAACGCGTTAACGTCCCCTTTAAATAACGTGACGCTCTGCCCTCTAGGACGCTGCTCCCATTAAGCGTTGTTGGAAGTGAATGAATTGATTCAGCTTTTCGAGACCCCCGTAAGGATGCATTTAACTCGACAAAGCGGTCTAATAAAGGATGTATTGATCTCGTGAATTAGCGAATTTGTGGCGCCCTAGGCGACCGCCTAGTTCGCCTATGCCTAGAAACGGCTCTGCCTGTGTCACATGGTTCAGTTAGAACATTTCGAGTTACCTTAAGGCTGGAATACACTACACGATTTTTGCCCCGATTTTCCGCCGATTTACAGTCTGAAGGAGTTGACACTAGTTGCCGAAAGTCAGAGCCACTCTGCAGATTTGAGTTGAAAGATTTAATAGAAAATCGTGTTGTGTTTGATGGTCACAGACTCCGATTTTTTAGCTTCAGACTTTGATTCCATCCAGACGGAGGATATCAAACATGTTTGATATTTTGAGCCAATTTTAGAGCATGGGTTGTGTTCATTTGTCACGCATCTCCTAGCAACAAGGCGCACGTTTCTGTGTGAGTTTGTTGTGATCGGAACAACTTCTGGTAGTGTGTGATCCTCAGTTGTGCAGTGTATGATGGACAGTTTTCCTTTGTCACTATTTACGAAGTAGGTAAGTGTATGATGCCCAGAGTTTGTAAAATCTGTTCAGATTTTAAAAGTCATGTAGTGTATTCCAGCTAGAGGTCTGCGCGGGACTGTTTTTTCAGTCCGGCTCCCGCAAGGTTCTATTCTGCACCCACCCGCTCCCGCTATATATTCACTCTTTGTTCACCCGCTGTCCGCTTAGAATAATTTTCTTCCCGACCCGACCGTTCCCGCTAAATGTGTATCTCGTTTCCAGAATCTCACATTTAAATGTCTGCTACTGAAAGAAAGAGAGATAGGCTGACAAATAAAAGTGTAGTCTGCACAAAATTGTCTTGTCAAGAGTCTTGAATTTATTGACTTTTAATTTAATTTATATGAATTATCTTAAGACACAAAATTCGTTTAATATTTTATTCAACACGGTTGGAAAAAAGTCAGAGAAAATAAAAAATGTACAAAAATTGTATTTCTTATTTTTATTCGTCTTGTCAGGATACAGTTCGTTTAACATTGACAACACAATAGTGAAAAAGTGTAGCAGAGAGAAAAAAAATAAAAATGTAGGTTGTACAAAAATAGCCTATTATCTATTTGCATTTGTCTTTTCAAAATACTAAATTCGTTTGACATTTTTCTGTCAAGTAGGAAAAGTGTCGCAGAGAAAAATAAATAAATACGACACTTTCATTTAAAATTATAGGCTAAGCAAAATATAAACAAAACAGAGATGAACGTCCTTCAAGGACAGCGCATCCACACTTTGCTCCATCCTTATTCTGCTCTGTCACTCATCGACAGCCTGCCTGTTCTGTCTGAGGGCCGTATATTTATCACCGGTACAGCCTGCTCTGAGCATCGTTATACACATGCTGCGCACAGACCCCGCAAATAAAACGCGTGACGGTAAAAGCATGCGTGCAGCGCATGCATAACAGTCCAAGTGCAGGCTGTACCGGTGGTCAATAAGAATAAAGCGCAGATATGCTGTTCTGAATGGACGTCGGGAACGGGATATTGTTAGACCGCCCGCTCCCGTTCAAATTACACCAGAGTTACCGACCGCTACTGCGTTTTATTCCAAGAGGGTCTAGCTGCAGCCTTGCACTTGCACTCTCAGACTTGCACTCTCAGACACTTGCGCTTAGACGTCACTTGCAGTCTTTATTTTTTTATTTTGTTCTATGTTTTATTACTTTTTGTTTGAATCTCTCAACATTTTACAACAGTAGCCAGGTGGTGAAGACAAGAAAAAAGAATACAATACACCATGTTAAGTGTTTATGTTTTTCTACAGGAGGAAACCGCTTAACGAGAGACTTTGTGCATTGCGTTCATATTCTGCTGTTCTGTGGCGACGGATTTGCGGGTCTTGTCTTTTTCTTGCAGGACCCTGTACGTTATAGTACTAAATTAGTTTTAATCGTTTAATCACCACCACAGCGTCTTGTCTCCATTGGCAACACGCACGATTTGTGTCCATTGCAAGTGACGTCGCAGGTGTCGGAGAGAGCAAGTGGTGATTGCAAGTGACTTCGTAATTTAGTTTCTTTTTTCTTGTCTTCACCACCTGGCTACTGTTGTAAAATGTTGAGAGATTCAAACAAAAAGTCATCAATAAATAGAACAAAATAAAAAAATAAAAGACTGCAAGTGACGTCGCTAGCGGAAGCGCAAGTGTCTGAGAGTGCAAGTCTGAGGGTGCAAGTGCAAGGCTGCAGCCAGACCCTTCTCTTTTATTCGGGAATTTAATCCCACGGCGCAAAAAATCCGGTCGGGTCGCAGGAATGCAGACCTCTAATTCCAGCCTTTGGCTGTCCTATTAGAGTACCAGTGTTTGATACTCAAATGGCAATTGTTTTTACTGTTGTTGTTTTTTTTAGTTATCTACTGCATCTCTTTATTTTAGAGAAACGACTATTTGACTGTTAAATAGGCTATTTATGTGAAAAAAAAACATTACAGTGTTTCTATAACTAATGGTTTTGTGAACTAAAGAGCTTCATGTTTTTTTTAATTTGATTTCTTCTGATCCAGATATGTATTCCCAGCCCTATTTGACATTAGCCACACACAAGTCATTGCACTAAGTTAAAAGAATATTTTATTAGCTCAAGTGAGACTAACTTGTATTTTGGAACAGACACATTGCATTAAATCTGATTAACCCTTCATCTTCAAGTAT